GTTTATTTACTTATTTTGAGAGAGAGAGAGAGAGGTGGAGGGGGGAGGGGGAGGGGAAGAGAATCCCAAGTAGCTCCAAGCTGTCAGTGCAGAGCCCAATGTGGGGCTCAATCTCATGAACTGTGAGATCATGACCTGAGCTGAAATCAAGAGTTGGGTATTTAACCAACTGAAATACCCAGGAGCCCTTACTCAAGTAATGCTGATGCAAACCACAGTACAAAGTATAAGTATTATTTATAGTTTATATGGTCAACTATTGTTTTTATTTTTTATTTTTTTAAAGGCTTATTTATTTTTGAGAGAGAGAGAGAGAGAGAGAGAAAGAGAGACAGAGACAGAGACAGAGCACAAGTGGGGGAGGGGCACAGAGAGAGGAAGACACAGAATCTGAAGCAGGCTCCAGGCTCTGAGTTGTCAGCACAGAGCCCGACGCGGGGCTCGAACTCACGGACCATGAGATCACGACCTGAGCTAAAGTCAAACGCTTAACTGACTGAGCCCCTGTTTTTTAATATATTAATGGTGGAATTGCTGCAATCTCTCTCTCTCTCCACACACACACACACACGCACACACACACACACACTCTTTTACATACTGAGGTATACAAGATAATTTTAGTAAAGACAATTTCATTTTCTTGGTTAGTGTCAAAGTCCTGGTGAATTTCATGTGGCTGGGACAGAAAAGGCAAAGAGCTGCCTGAGGCTAAGTTGGGTACTGGGGGCAGGGGGGAGGTAAAGGACAGAGAACAGGAACTTAGGAAGAAATAAGTACAAAAATTTCCTATTAGAATTCTCCTTCTAGAAAAATGGAAAGCATGAAATAAGTCTTTCCATTTACCTAGTTAACAAAAGGGAGAAACCGTACTAATTTCACAAGAATCCGATATGAAGAACAGCACAGCCAGGCTGCTTAGCACAAGCCGTGACGGAACAGAGAGGAGGCATAAAGCCCAGTCGCTGCAGCGGCAGCGCCTCCTTCTAGCCGAGCTCGGTCAAGAGATGTGACCAACACCCACTGCTGCAGCTCTAGCTTCTAGTCAGAACATCAGGAGCTATACTCCATTACAACACTTAGCACTGAGCTTTCAAGGAGAGGCCTTACACGCAGCTACTATTGCTGAGAGTATACCAAAAGTTTCCAAAACTGGTAACAAAGATCAAGATATCTATTTTTCACGTCTACCCGGACTCAACGCTTCTTTTCTTGCAACAAACTGGAGTCTTTCTTTTTTTTAATTAAAAAATTTTTTTTATTTAATTTTGAGAGAGAGACAGAGAGAGAGAGACAGAGAAAGAGAGAGAGAGAGAGAGAGAGAGAGAGAGAGAGAGAGAGAGAAAGAAGGTGCACAATCAGGGAAGGGGCAGAGAGAGAGAGGAGGAGACACAGAATCTGAAGCAGACAGGCTCCAGACTCCAAGTTGTCAGCACAGAGCCGGTTGCAGGGCTTGAACTCACAAACCTCCAGATCATGACCTGAGCCGAAGTCGGACACTTAACCGACTGAGCCACACAGTTGCTTCCAAACTGGACTCTTTATACATATAGTAAAATAAACCCCAAGAGATGGTAAAGATTTACCTGGTCCCTGTTGTTGATGTTTGAATAAGGTAACTGTCCAGTCATCAATTCATATAGAACAATCCCAAATGCATATACATCTGACTGAAAGCTATATGGGTTTTTATCTTGCATTCGAATTACTTCTGGTGCCTGTCAGAACACAAAAAGACAAATATTCTTGTTTACTCTTCAACTTCAACTGAATAGACTGAAAAGCAGATTAAAATTCCCAGAACAATGCTTTTGTCATTAAATAATTCATCTAATATGCAATCAATTCTCTTATTAATGGGCAAAGAAGTAGAACTGATCAAGAAGAAAAATGCTTGGTAAACTCTGAAAGAGGTGGTATTACCCGAGATTCCATGTGCATTACTAAGATTTTATAATTTTATCAGCCATCCTCTTTCAGCACAAAATCCTGTCATTGCTATTTGAATCCTTCCCAGGACTAGTCCTATCAAGAATCAGTTCCCATTTCCCATTCTTGATTCAGTAAAGAAATATTAGATCTGTGTTCATGTTTGGGAGTAGCACAACCACTATGGTAACTGCCTTAGAATTTTGGTTTTCCCCCTTGGTACAATGGTTTTCCTCGTCTCAGGGCACCTTAGAGAATACTGGTAAAACTCCTGCCTCCAAAAGCATTGTCAACATGCCATGGATGCTTTATTAACAAAAGCAAGAGACAGCAGGTTGACTTGGAAGATGGTATAAAGAATCTTGGCTGCTTGCTTCTTGGGAAAAGCTATAGACCAAAGCATATTTGCTACATTTTTACACATTTCACTCACTGTACTCTAATACTTAATTTCTTCTTGGCTGTTTACATAAAATACAATAGATGGTCAGTTAAATATTAGCTTAAAGGAATTACTTCACCTTGCATCTTCTGTTCTGTTTCATTTGGAAGAATTGTCTCATTAGAGAAATTGCAGAGTATAAATAAAAACTCTTGTGAAAGCGTTACTTTGATACCAAAACCTGGACTGACTGCAAAAATGGCTGGAAGACCTGGAACAAGATTCCTGGTCACAGGTCAGGGTAAGGCCAGTCAGACTCTCTCAAAAGGCAGGCAATGACATTCAGCCTCACCCGAAAATCACAATCACCTGTATAGACTTTAACCTCTCAATGTCCAGACTACAATCTAGAACAGAATCTGGGGAGGGGATCCAAGCACTGTTGTTTTTTTAAGTTCCCCAGATGATTTTAATGTCTAACCAAGGTTGAGAACCACTGATAGATGTACGGAGGCCCTGATGGAAGGATGGGGGCGTAGAAGAAGACTATCTACTTACGTTGGTCAAACATCTTACTAACTGCTTTTAGTAATATAGTACAAAACAAACCACATACAACTGTGCTATAGTGAACAAGCCAGAATACTGAGAGGCTGGTTATGATAGACACAATCTGAAAAGCCAGAACACAGTTTTGAGAGGAAGAGAGTAATAAATCAGTTGAGGAACTAAATGTCTTTTTAAAATTTAGTTTTACCTCACTGTTGTTGGTAGATGGCTTGATGTAAAGTTGTATGTCATCTATTTACAAGAAACGCATAATCAATCCTCAATTAATTTAGTGATTTAAGATCCTCAATTAATTTAATGATTTAATTTGTAAAAATTTTCACAAAGGTGTCTTTCCCCTCTAAGATAAATAAAACAAGGTTGAGAAGACTATTGTAAATAGTTCAGAGAATTACATAACCTTAGTCCTGACCCAACTCTTCTCTCTTGTCTACGGATGTTCCATATTTGTTTCTGAAGGCACTATCAACCCAAAAGGATTTATTCAATAATTAAGTGTACTATTGGCTACTCTCGTATTAGAACTCAGCTTGATGGAACAAAGGATGAACCAATCTACCTAGGTATCAACAAAAAAATTAGAAGAAAACGTAACACTTTATGTATAATAATCTACTAACTGTATAAAACTACGGTTTTTGAAAAAAGGACAAACCTGGAGATTTAACTGAGCCTCTCTTCCACACTAGTTAAAATCAACACACCTTTAAAACATGTATTAATTGTTTCTTTTTAATATTAGGTTTTATAATTTCAGTACTTAATATCTGCCAGCCCACCCCTTCCTAGGATACACTGCCATCTTGTAACACGGTGTATGACTTAAAGGTGCGTGAGATCCAGTTTACAATTATTAATTAGCCTCTGGTTTATAATGATTTTTAAACAATTAGAATGATCAAAGTCACAAACCTAGCTAGCTCTAATTACTGAATCTTAGACACAGAAAAGGTATTAGAAATCCACTAGTCCAACCAACATTAAAAATTGAGAGACGTGGTGGAGGTTAACAAACATGCAGGCTAAGAGTCAAACAGAGCACTTAAGTACCAATCTCCTAATTCTAAGTCCAGTGAGCTCCTTCCACTTGCTACTTTGCCTTAGCTCCAGTTATTATTACAAGAAATCATAGCCGAATTGAACCCTAAGTTTTCCTCACTGATGCAGACATCTATCTTGGAATTCCCTTCCTGGAGACTGCTATGGATAGTTCGGGGGATATACGCAAATGTGGCTTCAAGAGCCCTTGCAGCTTTTCTGTTTCCAGCATCGTGTCCCAAAGTCTTTGTGCAGATTCAATTATTTAAACCTTCAAATTGCACTAATGGTTTGGGGACATCCTATATTCAGCTGAGAGCAGCGGTTCTCAAACTTTTTTTGTCTCAGGCCTCTTTTAGTCTTGAAAATTACTGAAGATCCCAAGGGCATACATAGGTATTTATCATTTTTAAACCTAACAGGGAAACTGTTAAAATATTTAGTAATTCCATAAATAATAAAACAACAGCCATTAGATGTTAATACAGATGACCCATGTTTAATGAAAAGTGTATTTTCAAAACCAAAAACAGTTCAGTGAGAACAGTACTGCAATTCTCTTTGACTGGTTTAACAGAGTCAGCTACAGACACATATTTGTTGCTGCATTCAATCTGTTGTGATGTGTCATTTCTGGCTGAAGAACATGAAACCAAATGTGGCTTTACACAGGGATGACCTTGAAGACCTCCAAAAGGGTCTCAGAGTCCCTTTTAAGAACGGCTAGCTTAGAGGTTGATTCCTATGCCTGCCCTTTTCAGAGCCTGCAGAAAGTAACTGAAGTTTTCATTCCCTTTTTTCCAACAAAGCAGAAATAGGAATAAAGCAAGAGCTATGCAGGGCAGCACATGGCTGACAGTGTTAAAAAATCTACCTTTTTTTTTTTTTTTTTTTTTTTTTTTTGTCTTTCCTCTCCCAGCTGCCCCATAATTATAGGTTCTTTCTAGTCTAACGCAAGTACTTGCCAATTTAGGCTTAAATAAGATTGTGAAACAGCCTCTCTCTCAAAAAAGAGGAGTTCTCTTAGCAAAACCTTAATAACTGCTGCAGATCATACCTGCTTAAATGGCATACTTGTTTTTTTCTTTTTGCAACAGGGTACACAGAACATTTTGAACACAAGATATTTTAGAGAGCCAATTCTGGGTAAAATTTAAACAGTTTATAAAATACATATTTTTTGTTTGAAATGTACTGAAACTGGTATCATAATACTTTTTATAAAGATAAAGAAAAAGGTTAAAATCTATTTACATAAAAAATAAGATCAACATTGATTTTTGTGAATACTGGGCATTATGAAACCTTCAATGATTTTCTAGTAGTTCAGCAGCATCGCAGGGTCCACAAATTTCATTAATGGAGAAACAGCCTCAATTCTTACCATCCACAAAATGGATCCAGACAACTGTTCAAACTGATGGGACCCACTCCATCGAGATTTCACTGTGGCTAGACCAAAATCACCTATTTTTACTGTGAGGTCTTCATGAAGAAAAATATCTGAGGTGTAGTAAGTAAAGGAAAACAATAGATCTCATTTTCCTATCAAAGTAAGCATTATGAAAATTTTAGGTAAGAGATCTAATTTCTATAAGCCTGTAATATGATTTTCTTTCCTTGGTAATAATGATATTCCTTTAAAAAGTACAGTTCTTCCTATTTCCTCTTAAAGTTGACAAATATGTTTTAAAAAATAATTAGTTCTGTTTGGCCTATGTGACCTGCTTTTAAGATTTTTGGGGCTTGAAATGTGGCAGGGTGAGGTGAGATGCTTTCCTGAGTTTATGGGAAATCGTGAAAACTTTCCCATTAGATTTCAGTAACACAGATCCATTCTTTTGGCATTGCTGACAAAGACACAAAGGTTCTTCACCGGAATGAAGTTTAGTTGGCGGACAGGGTCTTGAGCTGGGTTTATGGAGGAAGAAGGAAAAATATGTCTTTCTCACCTCCTTGTTACGTAAGTTACAACTTTCAGTTACATCTGCACCACTGGGGGGCAGCGTCAGAGCACTGACAGAAATGAGGGGGCAGCTGCGCAACTCTCCGTTTTATGGAGCTGACAGAATGGAAGCACGCAATCAAAAGAGTACTACTGTTAGAAAGACTTGCTAGATTTTTTTGATAATGTTCAAAAGTTCAGAAACCAAAAGCAGGTGGTAGTATCCTGCTTCAGTATGCTCTCATGCAAACCCGTTTATTAATTCTCTTTACAACATATTGAACTTAGCATGAAAATTGTTTTTACATAATGTGAAGACAAAATGCAGAAGAAAAAGTCAGGATGTTTTCAAACTTCGCAGACAAATTTCAGGAAGGATACTATTACTCTTGAGGTCTCTGTGGATGATTGACTTGGCGTGTAAGTAACTGAAAAACAAAACATCATTTCAACCTGAGTAGGGGTAAAGACTCTGGCCTCCAAATCTATAGAACATATTTAGGGGTGTAAATAAAGACTTATTCAAAATTATGATACAACTGCAAACTATACATTATGATAACCTCTTTACATAAGAATATTAAAATAAACGGTCAATGAATTTAGGATTATAGGAACATATTACTATTACGGTACAGCCAAAATCCTGTATTGTGTTAAAAGACTTTGCTTTATCTTTTACTATTTACCAATACAAACCTTTCACTCCAGCCAAGCCTATTTATCCGTGTCTTTTCAACAGACATTGATATTTAATCCCACCTCTGTGATCAATGCTCCCCTCCCAAACCCATCCCCAAATGAACTTTCATTCTATTCTCCCCCATTCATTCCTATCCTTTAAGACTGAACGCTCACTCTAACTTCTGAATGAAGCTTTCCCATGATTAACTCAACTGAAAGTGATCTTTCAGTGTTCACTTATGTAGTAATTATTTAACAGCTTGATTCATGTATTTTTCCCTCTGTGCCTTTGGTTTTCTTTTCAGAATGTAAATTCCACCAGAATATGAAGATTTGATTGATAAAACCATTTTAAAGGTAGTAGTATACATTACTAAAATACCTTCTTTTTTTTTTTTTTTTGAAGATTTTATTTTTAAGTAATCTCCACACCCAACATGGGGCTTGAACTCATAACCCTGAGATTAAGAGCCGCATGCTCCACCAACTGAACCAGCCAGGCATCCCTAAAATACCTTCTTAAAAATACAGAGAAGCTTTACCAGACATGTTAACCTTAAATTAGCTACTAATGGCCACAGTAAATAATCCTATTGTTGATTAGTTTAAAATAGCATGTAATAAGAGAAAATTAAGTAATACAGAATAAATTTTCAAAACAGACAAAAATAGTGAGGAGGAAACCTGCTATATAACGTCCACAGTGAGTCTATTTTAAAGTCGATGATAAATTTAAATTATCTGTTACCCCTAAAAACTGCTTGAGTTCACTGAGGGAAAGGGCTCTGCCTACTTTACTTCTGTTTAATCTCCAGGGCCTAGCACAGTGCCTGGCATATGGTAAGTATTCAACATGTCTGTTGAGTCAACTACAATGAAATGCATATAATATTCTAGTCAAAGTTATTTTTCTTCATTTGATACTACAGAGAAAAGATACAGGAGACTTCTGAAATTTGACAATGACCATTAGGAAACAAATTTTGCTTTAAAATGACACTTTAAAGTCTAAATGGTATTATCAAAATTATGTAATAAACAGTTAAAAATGGAAGATTTACAATGATTAAGCTTTACTTATGCTTTTACATCTTCATTTAAACTTCCTCATTCTCCCAGAGATCAAGATTTTGAAACTTTCTTCTCAGACAAAATTTTCATTTCAAACTACTGTTTATACAAAGTAACCCCTTCTCTTCCAATTCCTCTCTCATATCAGTTTACTTCCTGCATAGATTACTGCATTTTAAAGTTGTCTTGTTGTCATGACTTCTTAAACTCAATCTCACTATATCACCCGCTCTCTCTTATGTTGAAGGAAAACATGATGTCATTTATGGGTCTCATTTGCTTAAAAAGTTCTGCAGTGACAGAGAGAGGTACAGATGGAGAAAAAGGGGCCTCAATCAAATGCTTTTTCAAGATGGGGAGGCCTTGTCTCCTCTTCAGAAAGAAAGGGGAACAAATGGTGATGGTGCTCAGTGGCGGAGCTTGGTGCTTTGGTCAGAGATCTGGTATTTAATGCACAGAAAAAGTGTTGGTCTTTGAAAAGAGACTGTTTTCTTTGGAATTAAACACAACAACAAATGGGTGGTAGAAATGAACTATATAGCAGCATGATTAAGTTATAAGAGAAGATAAAGGTGTTCCTGATGGCGTCAATTTTTTCAACGAATCTGATACAAAGAAATATAGCAAGAGTAAAGTAAATAGAAATGTAACCAGAGGGTTGAGGGGAGAAAAAAATTCTGACTGGGAAAGTACTAGATAATTAACAAGATATAAATACAAGTGCTGAGCTAGTGATATCACCCTAGTAGAAGGTGGACAATATAAATCTAACACAGGCCAAAGTCATATACAGCTGCAACCTGAAATAGCACCCCCTTATCCTTGGGTAATCCTTTACTGGTTGAGGGTAGGGAAGGGAACAAGAATAAATTAACTTTACTATAGACTATACAGAAGTCTATCCATTATTTAAAGCAGTCAAATTGGACTCCCTTCTTAACTTTTCAAAGATGTTAAAGAGAACCTTACAAGGTTTATAACAGTAGCAAGAAAGAAAAAACATGCTATAAACTAAATGAGTATCACATCTTCTTGATAGGTTTCCCTTGGGAGTTTCCTTCCTTGAAGCAAAAGTATCCACCTACAGAATCATTTAATCTGAAAGCTGGGCAAATCATCTAGTAAAATTTGTTCTCTATGCTACTTCTTTCAAGCTATTATCCAAGATTCAGGTTTTTAACATTCTTTTAAGAGCTTAATATGATGCCTCAAGAGTAAATACAATACTCTAGATTTGATCTGATCAACACAAACTAGGGCGACTCTCATCTTAATTTTCTCCTTGAACATAAGACCTGAAACCATAAAACTCCTAGGGAAAACAAAATACGTAGCAAGGTCCTTGACATCAGTCTTGATAATCATTTTTTTTTTTTGATTTGACACCAAAAACAAAGGCAACAAAAGCAAAAATAAACAACTGACTACGTCAAACGAAAAAGCTTCTGCACAGCAAACGGCACAGACCACCAACAAAATGAAAAGGCAACCTACCAAATGGGAGAAAATATTTGCAAGTCATATATCTAATAAGGGAATATCCAAAAAATATAAAGAACTTGTAGAACTCAATAGCAAAAATCCCAAACTGATTAAAAAACAGACATTTTCCCAAAGAAAACATACAGATGGCCAACAGGTACATGAAAAGGTGTCCAGCACATTCATCATCAGGGAAATGCAAATCAAAACCACAATGAGCTATCACCTCATACCTGTTAGCATGGCTATTATCAAAAAAACAAGAAACAGCATGTAGTGACAAGAATGCAGAAAAAAGGGAACTCTTTCAAGGGTACACTGTTGAAGACAATGTAAACTGGTACAGCCACTATGGAAAACAGTATGCAAGTTCCTCAGAAAAACTTAAAAATAGGATTATCATATGATCTAGTAATCCCATTTCTGGGTATATACCCAAAAGAATTTAAACCAGGCTCTCAAAGAGACATCTGCACCCTCATGTTTACTGCAGCATTCTTCACAATAGCAAAGATACAGAAACAACTTAGTGTTCATGAGTGAATAAAGAAAATGTCACACATACACACTCACACACGAGTATTATACAGCCACAAAAAAGGATATCCTGCTGTTTGCAACAACATGGATGGACCCTGAGGGCATTATCTGCAATGAAACAAGTCAGACAGGGCAATCCAAATACCATATGCTCTCACTTAGATGTGGAATATAAAAAAACAAAACAAAATTTAATTCATCTTCATCTTCCTTATGTGGGCTAAAAAATTATGTCAGCCATTATTGAGAGTATTATGGCAGCCACAGTCACTCTACAGACTTCTATTAAAATTGTATTCAGTTCCAACCCTACAGGGTTGTTCTTGCATTGCTCCTACACAACAGTTTCCCCATCCTATATTTGTAGGTGTATCTTTCTTTTCTGACCTTGGGTAAGATGTCTTATCTTGTAGACGTGGCCTATAATCTCAGCTGACTGAAATTTTAGTTTTCATTAAAAAATAAGTTTTAAAAGATCAGTGTGCTCTTGATGCCCTCACCTAAGTTATGTGTAAACATGCTAGTCACACTCAGGAGCAGAATGAAACAAAAATCTCCTTCAGCTTAATAGCTTCGGGGATGATGATCGTTATACACTTATGAACCTAGTCCAATTCTCCATGCATTTACATCTCTTGATCCTCTCCTCAACGCCATCATGAGAATTATCACTCAAATGCCTTGCTGAAATGCAATCACTAAGGCTACATTTGCTGTAGTATTTGCCTGATTTATCAGTGTTGCCTGTTTGTAACAGTCCCAAGTGTCTCTCACTGAAGTCCACTATTCTTTTCTTGTATTTTCAACTGTTTCTAAAACCAAAGAACTGGCTTCCAAGACATTAGCATTTGAATCCCGTTTCACCAAATGGTACACAATTTCAAAAATGTTCATTAGACTTCACGTAGCAAGCTGAATCTCTCCCCAGAAACCTATGGAGGGTGTGGCAGCTAACGGGACTAATATGCATGAGGGTGGTGACAATATTTGATCCAAACAATTTCAATTACAGTGTCCCTTCTACTTTGATGCGCTCCACTCTCCTCATAACCACACTGTGCAAAGTGAGTAAGACTGAAGGGAATGAGACTCTGCTACTCCTCTGCAGTCAACAATCATTTATACTTTAAAATAATTAAAATATCAGGCTCCTGGGTGGCTCAGTCGGTTAAGCATCCAACTTTGGCTCAGGTGATGATCTCGTGTTTGTGAGTTCAAGCCCCAAGCTGGGCTCTGTGCTGACAGCTCAGAGCCTGGAGCCTGCTTCAGATTCTATGTCTCCCTCTCTCTCTGCCCCTTCCCCACTCATACTCTGTCTCTCAAAAATGAATAAATGTTAAAAAAATTAATAAAAAAATAAAATAAAATAATTAAAATACGTAAGAAGTGAAGTTCACACCTTTTCCAGCTGTGTTGTGCTCTGAGTGGCCTAAAATCCATTTTTATGTAGTTTTTGGTTTCTATCGCATTAAAAAAAAAATCAAACTTATTAAGGTATAACTTGTCTACAACACAGGATGCACCCAATTTTATGTACGGTTTGAGTTTTGCCAAATATATATATACTTGTATAATGACCAGCCACAATCAACATGAAGAATATTCATCACCCCCAAAACTTTCTTCATGTATTTCTGCAATTAATAACACC